AATCAGGTAGATAAGTCAACTAGCATTTACTAATATATATATAAAAAGTTAATATGTATTCAAGGTTAGGAATTATACATATCTACAAGAAAATCTTGTCCAGCTATCACAATACTTTATATACTACTATAATCAAAAGATATATAGCTTTGTTATTGTCTACTACCTTGAAGCCATCATTGATGAGTTAACACAGGACTAGTACAAAAACAAGATATTAGGTTTTTTAATCTAGCATATAATGGAATAATATATAATCACTAGTATTATATGTATTAATACTAGCCATCTATACATGATCCAGGCTCTGCCATCACAAGAGTAAATAGGCAAGCCAGCTAAAACTTGCAAGGACAGTATTATGCTCATACAGTCAATGTAGACAATTACATGTATTTGAGTATAGAAAACTTGTTTGTTTTTGTTTGTTTTACCTCAAGTCTCATCCTTTGTTTTTCTTTTCAACCCTTGTTTTTTAATCTTTAACCTGGATTTTAATCTTTAATTTTACCTTTGAGCATCATACTCTAGTATCATTTTCTTATATTTTGTCTTACTAGATCTTCTATACAATAATCTGGCAAAAGCTTTCCTTACTATAATATAGATTCTACTTCCCTCACTCTAGTTTATTGCTAATAAAGCTGTCTGGCAAAAGCTTCCCTCACTACAATATAGATTCAACCTCTGTCTGGCCCTGCTTTGCTCTAGTTTATCACTAAAAGAGCTATCTGGTAAAGACTTTCCCTCAATCTAAGTTGTTTCCTTGCTAGTTTTACTAATACATATAGATATAAACTATCTTGTAATGGTTGCTCTAATAAAACCATTTGACAAAGGCTTTTTTTACTAATACAATTATCTAGTAATAGCTATTTATTATTTATTATTTATATTATTTATATAATTTATATTTTATAAATATAGCTGAATTTAAATAGAATTTAAATGAAATTTAATTAAATAATAATAAATTCAAAATTAAATTAGATTAAATTAAATTAAATTTTATTAATTATTAACTAAATTTTAACTAATTATTAACTTTTAATATTTAAAGATTTAATTTAATATAGAAAGTTTAGTAATAGTTTTAATATATATATAAATATTAAATAATTTATAACTATTATTAATTATTTTAAATTTAAAACTAAATTAAAATAATTTTTAAACTTTTGCCATAAAATTTTTAAGCTAAATTTAACTTAATATGTTATAGTCTTGCTCACTTTATATTGCTCCTTCTACTTCTGTACTTTAGTATGTTAAGTGATGATGACTATATATAAGGTTGTTGTCAGAAGCTATATAAGAATCAAGCTTCTTTATACTCTCATACCATGTTCATTGTCATAGACCATAACAATATAGCTACAATGAATAAAAGCCATCAGCCCTAATAGTACATACATAAGAAAACAAACTAACAGAGTAATAGGCTAGAAAAAGATAGCAGCTAGCAAGCAGGTCAAAGCAAACCAATAGTGCAATGAGATTGAAAAAAGTTAGTAACAGAATGTAGACCATGATTGTAGTCATTTGTTATTAATTGAATCAATTAATTTAACCAACAATCTTTCATCTATAGAGACATTAAAGTCATTGTCATTTACCTTGGTATTCTCAATCTCCTCATCAAGATATTGTTTGTATATTAGCCCCTCTGAAAGATAGTTCTTAAAAATGGCATTCACAGGTCTATCATCATAATCCCCATGCTTGGCACAGGCATAAATGACTGTAATCTTGTTGACCATAGCTACTACTGCCAAGTACAGTTAGAGGTCAGAAATTTCTCCCTTTGCAAAAGCAGTTAGTTTCTCCTGGAGGTCATCAATTATGTCTATCATTGTGTCCATAAAATTTACCATACATTAGATAGTTTGCTGTCTGGACAATCCCTAGACATTTGCCTATAGGGGGTCCCTATAAAGCTTTTTGAAACAAACACTTGCTTGTACAATTTTGAAACTATAATCATTGCTAGTATTGTAGTAATCCTAAGCATCAGCCCAGAAAGTATCTTTTCAAGTAAGTACTACAGCAACAAGGTCTCTAGGACAAGTAATGCCAAGATTTTAATTAAATGTAACATCATTGTAGAAAACATTTCTTATTTCATTTGAGACAATGAGGTAGCCATAGCAGGTAACTAGAAGGGCTTTAATGTTCATTTGCTTATGGTATAAATTGATCTCAACTACCACAACATGCCAAGGCTTCATGTTAGTCATGTCAACAGGGATTCCATAGTTCTTAATAACAAATTTTGAATCTTTTTTGTCATCCAAGACATTGAGGTTCATCTCAAGAACCTTAACCTTCATTAGTGTAACCTAGACTTATTTGCCTGTTAGTTTAGTTTAAGATTCAACCTGAAGACCATTCTTACACCACCACTTATTGAACACATCTTTGTCCTATTGAGATAGTTCATGACCTTTCTTGGTTACATTGTTAATACAATGTTATATGTTATAGATATCTATACATAGCATTCTGGCAGTAACAGTATAGCAATAAGGTAGTAGATGAAGTAAGACATGAAGAGTTGAGATGCTAACTAAAGTTAAAAAAGAGATAGGAAGTAACATGTCTTGAGAACAATAATATAAACAGACTATAAGCAAGTGCTAGTAAATTGGCTACAGTACACTAAACAAGTAAATATTTATAAACTCTAAAAGCCTCAAAGTATTGTCAAAACAACAAAAGTAATTTCATGGGTATAGTAATAAAACTCTGTCAACATTAACATAATAATATATGGCATAGGTCTTTAATTGCTATGTGATTCTGTTATGCTCCCTAAATTTACAAAGTAGATCAAGAGTGTTCTTGAAGTTTTCTTCAAGAATCTATTAGTTGTATTCTAGACTGTATTTAACCTATCAAACAAAGTATTAATGTTGTCCTCAAGACATCTATGAGCATAGTATTTGACTGACCTTATATTCAGGTTCACCCTGACCATTGGAAGCCATCTCTACTGGCCTTAGTTTAGGCATTACTCTTTTAAAGTTGTTGCTTCCTGGTGCAGGGCATGGCTGTAGGTAGATAGAGGCTATTATCAGGTAGATGTAGATAGTCAAAAGTAGCTCAAGATAGTAGGTTATACTCTTTTCTACCTTTTCAAGAATCTAGAACAGCCCAACTTGCTAGAGTCTCAATTTAGCTTTTCTAACTAATAAAAGTTGGTAATGCTTCAACTACAACAGTGCTCATCTCAATGAGAAATTAGGTTCTGGGTCATGGTGCCAACAATTGTGCTAATATACCATAGCTTTCTTTCTGAGAGCTATTACATTAGTAGCAGTACATCATGCTATTTTCCTCATATCCTCCCAGGGAACAGTAGCTAGGAATACTCCCATCTGCTTGCCAGAAATGTCATAGGCTTGCCTGACCTTCATACTATATAGCAGGTTGTTAGGGGATAATCTATCTAAAGCTATACATTCAAAGTTGTTTATTTGCTCTGCTATGATAGGTAAAGTGTTCAGCCAATTTGATTGCATAGCATTGATGTAGTAGTAGATCATAATTTCAATTTTCTAATTTAACTACTTATCTTGCCTGTTCATGCTACTATGGTATGCAGTGATCATTATAAATCTTGTACCTACTCTTGTAAATAAGGTATTGAAAAACCCTTGTATAAAATGTTAATCACAGTCTGTCATGACTACACATGGAATGCCCCATCTTGTAACTACCTGGTCCTAGAAGAGGACTGTTCATGTTCTAGAAGAGTAGTTTTTTCATCCTAGTATTAATGTTACAGCTTTAGAAAACTTATTAGTAGCTATAAGGATTGTATTAACTTTGTTAGGCATGTAGAGGAGGCTATTGGCTTCTGGTAGATTGGTAATGAAGTCAATTGATAACATGTAAAATGGTTCTACTAGAGAATTTATAGGACATAGGGCTGTATAACTACACTAACAGCTAGTATAATTTCATAAGCAGTCTAGGCAATGGTTAATATAATGCTTGACTGTCTTGTGCATTCTGGGCCAAAAGTACTTGTCTACTAACTGTGTATATGTTTGTCTGTGCCTGTAGTAGGACTGTTGGTCATGAGTCAGCTTGAGGTAGTGTTACTATAGGCTTGGTAAGATCACAAGTCTTAGGCAATGATTGATGAGATCTTCAAAAAATAGTAGATCATTTTTTATGACATATTGGCTTAATGACATTTGAATTGAATTGTTAGTAGGATCATTTTGACCCTGTAAGAAAACAAACTTATAGATGGTTTTTAGATGCTAGTCAGAAGCTACTCCTTCCTAATGTCACTGCTTCAAATCATCTTCTACTATAATAGCAAGGTATACATGGTCTGTTGTGAAATCCTTGATTTGTGGCAAGGGACCACCTTTTGAGACAATCTTGTTTGCCAGGTCAAAGACAAGCATTACCTTCCTGGAGTTCCATCTGGACAGGGCATTAGATACTGGAATATCACAACCTTTTCAATATACTACTGTCAGGTGGTCCCAGAATTGAAACATGAATATAGCCCAGTTGGTGAGATAATTGTTCATTTTTGCTAGTGAGTTTGTTTGGAGAGATTTCATTTTGACAATAGTCTCATTTGCCTAATAGTTTGTCACTACTATAGTTGTCATGGACCAACCTCCAGACAGGAGCAAGGACTGGAACTACCTGGAGTTACCTGGCACCACTGAAAGTTATCTAGCAACTACAGGTAGACTGTGTACTCTAAGCAAACAAGAGATATAGTTGGTAGAATTGTAGATAGTTTTGTTTTCCTTCTTTGTGCTTCATCTTAGTCAATGCCATTATTTTTAAAGCTCTACACTGCCATTGCTATGACACTACAAAGCATCTTCTCTTAATCAAAGCCTCCACCAGGGCTTAGCTTTCATTTACTGCAAGTGACATCTTAATTGAATGACTGCTTATTGAGAAAATGCCTTTTGAACCTATCATACCTCCATCCCTGCCTATTGGCAACATTGACCCTACTACTCTCACCCTGGAACAGTTTGTCCAGTTGGTTTTAGAAGACCCTAATAGCTGGTTTCATTTTATTCATAACCTTACTAATACCTTCTCCCAAGTAGAGCTAGCCTGGAAGCAGACCTACATTGAATGCAATCAAGCCATTGTAGTTGCTAAGCAAGTTGAAGAATGAGAATGCATCTCTGCCATAAAGATCCAGGCCTTGAGTGATCAACTGATCAATGCCCTCTCTAAAACCCATGAGAAAACATCTTCCAAATGCTCAGCTACACACCCTGATCCACTGAAGTTCAGTGGAAAGCATGATGAAGTTGATACATTCCTTGTGCTCATCTGCTCAAAGCTTGGTATAAACCATGACCACTTCCTAGATGAAACTGCCAGGATGCTCTATGTTATGAGCTGCCTAGAAGGAACAGTCCTTAAGCAAGTCATGCTGTTAGTCTTAGCTAATAATTAGTTCCAAGGTTATACTACTGTGGTGGACTTGCTCAAGATGCTAGAACAAGCCTTTGGTGACCTTGACAAGCAGGCCACTGCTCAGTGGGAGCTCTGCCACCTTAACCAAGCAAACTTACCTTTTTTGACCTTCATTGCCACCTTCTGCTGCTTAGCCCCTGATACTGGATTTGATGAAATGGTGCTAAAAAGCATATTGAGTGGAGGTATCTCTATGAGTTGACAAATGCCATGATCACTTACAAGGTCCCTAGCAAACTAGATGACTATATTCAGCTCTTACAGAAGGTGGACAACAAAATAGTCACCATGCAAGACCACTTCCCTGTACCCCTGAGAGGCACTTATGGTTCAAAGTCCACTCCAAGCTCTATGATCTCCTGCTATCAAGGAGGTTGTTATAGTTATGTAGCCACTACAGCTCCCTCTAGTGTTGCACTGACCATGGTTAGTACCACCATGTTTACTCCCACTATTTGCCCCTCTGATTCAGCCTCTAACTTTGGAGCTACTTCCATGGACCTATCTAGTGTACAATATAGACTAGTCCTACCAGAGGAGAAAGCCTAACACCAAGAACTTGGCCTCTGTTCTTACTGTAGAGGAAGTAGACATATAGCAAGTAGCTGTGAGAAATTTAAGTGCTATAACTATAGCAAGCTAGGCCATGCTGTAGTGAACTGCCCTGAGGGCAAATGTGTGTGCCTGAATGAAGCTACTCTCCAGGTTGCTACTAGCTCTGGATCTAGCAAGCCTACTGCAGAAAACTAGGTGCCTCCAGGGATAGTTGCCCTTGGAGGCCCCTATTGTCAATCTCAATCTCAGCTAGTTCTCTTGAAGATAGTTTAGAAGGAGACCACATGGTCATAGCAATCAAACTTGTCTTTAACTTTAGAGAAATCATTACTCATGCCCTAGTTAACAGTGGCACATCCACCCTAGCCTTTATTGACCAACACTTCACCCAACAACACCAAATGCTACTTGCTAAACTTAACAACCCTTGAATGCTCACAGTGGTAGATGGCTGGACTATTGCATCAGGACTGCTTACACAATACTTACAAGCAACTATAGTAACTGGTAACCACCAAGAATTAGTTAAGTTCCTGGTTACACAGCTGGGCCACTACCTAGTGGTTCTTGGTATTAAATGGTTACAAAAACACAATGTATACACCTACTAGGGTTCAAACACAGTTATCCTCAACTTGAATTATTGTCAAAAACACTGCCTACAAGGACAACAAGCTGCTGTATTAGCAGGGTTAGTGGACATGCCTGACAAGGAGGACACAACCCCTACACACTTAGTTTACTCACCACCTATGTTACTGCCTATGCCACTGTCCTTGTGCCTACCTACTGCTAATGCATACTCTAGCCTAAACATAGCTGGGGCCCCTGCAAAGAATGACTGCACAACATCAATTTAGATAAACCTTATAGGAGCAAGACCATTTACATGGTTAGCTAGGAGAAGAGATTGCAAGCTTTATATAGTATCTATGAGAGATATAGAGATCACCTTGAAAACTAAACCAGAAGTTGACCCTACCACTATTTTACCTGCTGAATACCATGACTACTTGGAGGTGTTTTCTTGAAAGCTTGCTAATACATTAGCCTCTCATCAACTATATAACCATACCATAAACCTTTAACTAGGAACCTCTTTACCAATTGGATGATTGGCCAACATGTCAGTTAAAGAGCTCAAAATGCTCAAGAAATTCCTTGAAGAGAACCTTTAGAAAGGGTTCATTTGAGCTAGCTACTTACCCTTTACTATGCCCATCATGTTTGTTAAGAAACCAGGGGAGGGCCTTTGATTATGTGTAGACTATAGAGGACTTAACACCATTACTATTAAGGACTGTTACCTGATTCTACTTATTAAAGAGACCCTCAACTAGCTAAGCAAGGCCCAATACTACACAAAGCTAGATATCATCATGGCTTACAACCAACTTAGGATGTAAGAAGGGGATGAGCCCCTAACAGCCTTCTGAACCTGTTATGGGTAGTTTGAGTCTTTAGTTATGCCCTTTGGGCTGTGTAGAGCCCTGGGCTCATGGTAGAACTTTATTAATGATGTACTCAAGGAATACCTAAACATCTTCTGCATGGTGTATTTAGACAATATACTCATTTACAGTGATAACCTCAAAGAGTACAAAAACCATATGAAACTAGTACTACAAGCACTAAGGGGTGCAGGCTTACAGGTAGATATTACTAAATGTAAGTTCTATACCACTGAAGTTAAATATCTAGGCTTACTAATTGAACAAGGAAGTGTATGAATAGACCTAGAAAAGGTGGCTACAGTTAGGGAATAGGAGACACCCTGGAAAGTAAAAGATGTTCAGGGCTTCTTGAGGTTTACTAACTTTTACTAAAAGTTTGTAAAAGGCTTCTCCAAGATAGTAGCCCCCCTAACCAGACTAACCTGCAAAGACAGTCTGTGAAAATGGACTCAGGAGTGCCAACACACCTTTGAGGATCTCAAGATATTATTCTGTGCTGCATCAATACTGGCATTATATGACCTAGACAAGGAAAGCATTGTAGAAACTAATGCTTCAAACCTAGTAGCTATAGTAGTACACTCTCAACATGATAAAAAGGGCATATTGTGGCCTGTAGTGTACTTTTCCAAGAAGTTCTCACCTACTGAATGCAATTACAAGATCCATGACAAGGAACTAATGGCCATCATCCTAGCATTTAAAGAGTAGAGACACAAGCTTGAGAGAGTAAAGCACCTAGTTAAGATCTTCAGCAACTATAAAAACCTGGAACACTTCATGTTTACCAAAACCCTTAACTAGCACCAGGCCCAATGGGCAGAGTATCTTTTATAGTTTGACTTCAGGATACACTACTACCCCAGGAGACTAGAAGGGAAACCAGACACCCTTACCTAGAAGTCTGCTAATTAGCCTGAACTAGGCAACCTGTAGTTAAAACACCAACAACAGATAGTGATCAAACCACACCAAGTAGAACCAGTTCTACTAAGACTACAGCCACTATAGTTTGAAGATAGTAACAACTCTAGCTTATACAGTGACACCAACTCCAACTACAAGCTACTGGCAGAACCAGAGCATAGCAGCATGCTACCTCAACAACAGTTAAGACCCAGGCAGGAAGAACACCAAACCTTAGTTGACCTAGAACCACCTACACAGCCCTACTAGGGATTGGAGTCCCCAGAACCTGAAGAACCAACACTATCAGAACTCCTAGAAGAGGGCTATATGCAAGATGAATAGGTCCAAAAGGTGTTCCAAGTGCTACACTCAGGACAGCACCAATCCAGATTGATAACTCTAGTAGACTGCCAGGAGGTCAATCAACAGCTATTCTATAGAGAACAACTATACATACCAGACTTCAAAAACCTCCAAACCCTTATCTGTCACCAGCACCATGACTCACCAGCAGCTGGACACTCAGGAAGAGCCTGCACACTGGAACTAATTAGCCAGGCCTTCTACTGGCCAGGCATGCAAGCTATAGTAGCCCAGTATGTAAGGAACTGCCATACCTGTGCACAGAGCAAACCACACTGTTGAAGCCTGTACAGAGTACTGAAACCACTACCAATACCCATGCAATGCTAGAAGGACATCTCAATGGATTTTGTCACAGGGCTGCCCCTATCAAGAGGGTACAATGCAGTACTGGTAGTAACTAACTAGCTAACTAAGATGAGACATTCCTTACCCACAACAACTATGGCCATAGCACAAGATGTTGCTAAACTATTTGTAAACTAAATATTCTCACTATACAGGCTCCCAGAGACAATAGTGTTAGATAGAGGTACACAATTTGTTTCAGACTTCTGGCAAGTAGTATGCTACATCTTAAAGATCCAGGCATTACTATCTACAGCCTATCACCCAGAGACAGATGGATAAACTAAGCAACTCAATGCCATAATAGAACAGTACCTGCACAGTTATGTCTCTTACCTACAAGACAACTGGTTACTATGGTTAGGCCTAGCTGAATTTGCATTAAATAATACTGAATCATCAGCAATCAGGTACACTTCATTCTACATGAATTATAGTTACAACCCTTGTATGAGATTTGAACTGACCCTGTCCCCAGAACTAGCTAAAACACCTAATGCAAATGAAGGTTTTGACTTTGGATGGTACATGGAAGAAATCCTAACACTATTATGAGTGGAGATCAACAAAGCTAAAATGTGTTACAAGGATAATGTCAACTGCAGAAGACTACCAGCACTTACATATAAAGAAGGCAATCAAGTATAGTTAAGTACAAAAGAGATAAGAACTCAACATCCCTCATGGAAATTAGATTGGAAGAACTTGGGGCCATTTACTATCAAACAAGTACTAAACCCTTATGTATATGAACTGGACCTACCTGAAAGCATGCAAATTCATAATGTCTTCTATGTTTCTCAACTATTACCAGCAGCAGGAGACCTACTTCCAGGCCAAATAGCTGCCCCAGTGCCACTGGTACTAGTAGATGGAGAAGAAGCATATGAGGTAGAAGATATCCTGGATTCTTGAGAAAGGCAGGGATGGATTAAATACTTGGTTAAATGGACAGATTATGATGCACTTGAATGGTTACCAGAAGAGAATGTTGACCATGCAGATTACCTGCTGACTAGGTTTCATCACCTGTATCCAATTAAACCATGATAACAAGACCATTACATAGCCTTCACAGAGCTCAAGACTGTTAAAGGAGGGGGTAATGTTACAGACCAACCTCTGGACAGGAGCAAGGACTGGAACCACCTGGGGTTACCTGGTACCACTGAAGGTTACCCAGCAACCACAGGTAGACTGTGTGCTCTAAGCAAGCAAGAGATATAGTTGGCAGAATTGTAGATAGTTTTGTTTTCCTTCTTCATGCTTTGTCTTAGTCAATGCCATTACTTTTAAAGCTCCATACCACCATTGCTATAACAATAGTATAAGATGCTTCTTCTACCATTGATATGACTTTTTAGATCATTTAAATTATGTTAGCCATTTCTAATTTGGTTGGCCAGTAGTGTTTCTCTGTAGAATTTAATTCTCTACTAAGAAAGAATACTAGTTGTAGATCTGTATGTAGAGAAATGTTCTGCTTTATTGTTGAGTCATCATGGATGGTCTGGTAGTCTACACTCTCAAATCTATATTCCTTAGATATGTCAAGAAAAAAGTTTAGATGTTTTTCAAAATCAAAGTGTATAATCATGGCTTTAGCTACTATATTTTGTAAATTGTAGAATGCTACTGTCTGTTCTGCTATTAAAACTATCTGAGTTCTGGATGTAACTTTACAATGTTTTTTTTTTATTATTGTGGCAGCAGATGTTTTCCATAGTAGCACCATCTTTAGCTTTATCAATGGTTTTGCCTGTTGAGTGTAGTACAGAATTAGATGTTAGTGCTACCTAGTGGTTTCCAGAAATTGCTTAAGATGTCTCAAGCTGTCACACTGTTGAGGCAACCATTGTAATATTACTTTTGTTTTCTCTTCCATAGTTAATAGGCCTAAGCAATCTACTTTCTGTCCAAGGATAGTTATTAACTAGTAACCTAGATAGTATTTCTTTGCCTTAAGTATTATTCCTACAGTAAATAGGATTTGCATGACCTTATCAAGATAATTGACATGCTCATAAAACATCAGGCTGTATATGATAATATTGTTTATGTAGCAGGCCACAAAACACCAGGAGAGACCCTTAAACAAATTGTTCATTAGACACTGTTGATGTGCTACCAACTTCTTGTTACCTATAATTATAACAGAAGTCTACTCTTGTCCTTGATGGATAACAAACACTGTCCAATACCTGTTAGTAAGGTATATAAGTTGTTGGTAGTAAGTAGAAATAATATTAAACAAGCTTATAAAGTGTGCTCTCTGTACAGATCTAATTACTCTTTCTTGTTGTAGCAATGGATAGCCATCTATATTTAGTAGTAGATTAATCTTTTATATATCTATAATAGGCTAAGATTTATTACTGTTGGTGACCACAAAGACTTGTATACTATATAGTAATCTTCAATACTTGGTAATATGACTACTTTCAAGCAAAGAATTGAAAATATAGTTGATGGCCCATTGAGCTTTGATGCTAATATTAAACAAGGGTTTGATCTTTATTTTGGCCTCTAGTGCTAGATCTACTTCAAGCCTCATTTATTAGCTGGAGTGCTCATGCATAATTCCCAAACTGTTGTTAAACAGGATTTTATGTTAGTTGTACAGTTTGTACAAGGTCACAATTTGATTATTAAGAAGCTCTATATTTACATCAACCTGCTAGTACATTGACATAGTAATGTCTGGAACTTTTATACCAGTAGGTACAAGATATTCATACATAGGCTGAAATTTATCATTTAACTATGCTAGCATCTCATATGCAGGTTTGCTACCTATAGTGATGTCAATAGAAGCATTCATTACCAAGAACCCAAGCCTAGCTTCATGAAGCATAGTATTCAAGGATTTTGATAGGGAGCCATCTAGGGTGCTTGTGATAAAACAATCATTGGTACCACTGGCCACCACCATGATAGTTTCAGAGTAAACTCCAGTACCAGTAGTAAGAGTAGGTCACAATACTGCTACAGATAATGTAGTATCTGCCCTAAAGAAAGCAGAGATCTCATCTAAAGCTTTAGCCTACAATGCTACCTTGCTAGTCTTTAGACTATAGATTGTCCCTACAATGAAATTCTTTGGTAAGGTATATTGTTTGTTAGTGAAATTAGTATATACTAAGTGAGTTTGATTGGTTAATATAATAGATCTTGGTAAGGAGGTCTCCACTGCTACTCCAGTAGTGATGAGAATGAATTCATAATCTTGACATAATTGGACAGTTTTTGCAAATTTAATGGGAATTTTACATGTTGATCTTGGTAGTATAACTATAGCTTTGGAGAGCCAAACAGGAATATTCTTATATTTATAGTCTTTTTGAACACATACTAATATTACCATGTTACTACATTATCAAACAGTCATAATTCCTCATGCTGGGTTAATTACCATGCCCTCAATTACAATTACATCATTGGCAATTAGTAGATCAGTACCCAGGTTTGGGATGATGAAGAATGATCTTGTAATGACTACTACCTTCTTTCTATCCTTAGTATAGAGGCAGAATTTTAATATTATTCTTTAGGTAACAGTGGTCTTGCCAAGTTCTACACCCTTAATCTAATACATAAAGGGTAGGTCCTAAATCATAAAATTTTCATTTGGAATGTACTTTAAAAATTCTGCATCAATGCTAGAATTTCTAAATCTAGAATCAATCACTACCTTATGGGTAGTATTAAAGTCTGGCATGAAAGCTACATCTGTGTTAACATAGCTATACACAACCAAATCAAATCCAGGAACTTGCTTAACTAGCAGGGCAAAGGATTTGACAATGATTGGATTAGATATAGAGGATTTAGTCTGATGACCATCTGCCTTAATATGTTGGTATAGAGCACTGCATAACAAAAAGCTTTGCTTGTACTTGTTATATTTAACCTTAGTAGAAACAAAAAATACTTTTTCTACTACATCATTAGTATTAGATACAGTCATGTTTAATTCAAGATTATTTACCAATATATAGGAAGACATTGAAGCTCTATTATCTCCATCATCAATGTTTTGACTCTCTGCAAGATCATTACCATTAGCATGAAATGCATGCCATTTACCTCTATAACTATTACCTTCTTTTTTAATCTGTAGATAGTCACAGTCCTAGTGTTCTTCTATACAGAGGCAACAAGGTCTAACATTGTAGCCTGCACTTTTGGTATCTCACCACAAGATATTTGCATCCATCATTGTCTACCACAACCTATATTTTCATTAGGTGCCTTGATGATTAACCTTTTCTGAGTAGTTATTCTACCAATTAGAACATTTATTCTAGTTGTACACCTCATTTGAGGGCTGATTCCAGCTAGCCAGGTAGTTTGTAGTAAAAGATGACACTGTTCCAGACTGATTAAACAATCCTGTACAAACTTCATGTCTTGACTTTAAATGTTCTGCCTTTAGAGCTACTTGTATTTTGTCTAGACAGCTAGAATACTTTGAGAGTGTATTTTCATCATCCTCCAAAACAGACTCTATAGCAATTTAAATGGATGGCTCTAGGGAAAAGCCATCATGTACTCTTTTAACCAAGTCATTTTCATCATTGTATCCTGCAATCCTTAATAGACATAACTTCTTGGTAAGGTAATCTAAGGGTTCTTGTCCTAACAACCATGTAAACTTCTCATAGTCAGCTTTAATGTAAGTAATTCCTCTGCAAGGCATGAATTTGATGTAGATACATTGGCACCATTCAATGGCTGATTGATCCATTACTTTTTTATTTTTTTTAGATAGACTATACAACCAGTCACAT